GGGAGGGGGGGGGGCAGTGACCCCCCGAGCCGGGGGCGGGCCCCACCGCTGCCTTTTCCAAGAGCTCCAGCGACCGCACCACGAGCGGCACCAGCCCAGCCGCTGCCTCCGGCCCGAAACGGCGCGCCAGCTCTTGGAGCTCGGTGCCCAGGGCTCCCGCCAGATGGTACACCAGCTCCGCGGCCGTCCCTGACCCCGAGGCCACTCGGGGGCCCCAGCTGTATGCCCCAGGCGCCGCCCGGCTGGGCTCCATGGCTCCTGAAGGTCAAGGGCTGCGACCTTCGCCCCCCCCCCACAGTCGTCTACTGGGTCCGTAAAGAACCCAACAATTCCGGCCCAGGAAACAGTTTAGGGCAGTAGGGCGGGGTAGGCGCCACAAAGGGTGGAGCGATGAAGGGAAAAGGCAAAGGGTGGGGGGAGACAGTGCCCTAAGCCCTCCCTACACTCTCGTTAGGTCAACTCCCAAGGTCACACAGGCAACAGGACAGCCAACTCCCAGTCAGCCCTCCTGGAGCTCAGCTCAGGGCGGTAAGCGGTCACTTCAGTAAAGCCCTCCCCACAGCGCCCCACCCAGGCTCCACCCCTGTCAGGAGTCACGGGGCCCACTTCTCAGCCAAGCACTCCAGGCAAGAGGTGAGAGGTCAGAAGCCAGTCACTGGCCTTGCCTGAAAGCCAAACCAGACATCCCCAGGTGTGCCAGCTCCCTCACCAAGAGTGACATGGACTTAAAAGGGGCTCAGGCGAGCACCACAGCTGCAGAGCACAGCCATGGAGCTCCTAGACCTACTCTAGAAGTGGCAGAACTGCTCTAAGGCAGGTTGAAAAGGGTGACATTTTTGCTCGCATATTGGGTCCTTGGGATAATAGACATTTTTCGGTGCAAAAGTGTATCATGACTTTCCTGACGATCCAATATTTGGGAGGAAAACTGTCAAATATGTTCAAGATACTATAAGTATAAAAGCCCAACCTTGAGGGCAGAAGGTGTCGTGGTGGTTAAGGGCGCTGGACTCTCACATGGCTGATCATGGTTTGAGTCCTGCTCCTGGCAGCTTGCTTTCTCACTCACTCACTCTGAAGAATCAAATTTAAATAAATGATTCTTTTTTTTTTTGGAGAGATTTTTGCTATAGGGCGCGTGTGCTTGCTTGCCAGACAGACAGAGAGAGACATAGAGACAGAAAGCGAGAAATCACCCCCCAGGGGGGATGGTCACGCTGCAATCCCCTCTCCTCCATTCTCCTCTCGGGATCTTGGGCACGTACGCACACGCACCCGGCTATATATATATAAGTATTTTATACACATACTTAAAAGCCCAGCCCCACTATTCCTTGAATCTAGAGGCTATCTAGCCCCAAAGCCCTGAAGAGGCAGGGGGCCTCATACCTCCTTCAAGGCAGAGCCCAGCACCTTGCAGTGAACTGCCCCAGTATGCCTCCTGCAATACCTTCACCCTGACTGTGAACTTAAGTAAAGAAGGAACAACTCCCCAGTCCCTATTTATACAAAATTTATTCACACACTTTGTGTAGGATTACAAGCTACCACAAGGTCAACAACACAAGCACAAAATAAGAGGAAAAGGGGCCAAGCTGCTGAATGTCACCAGCTTGTCTGTAGGGGCTGAGGCTCCAGCCTCTGGAAAGTCTGAAGCAGGAGGAAGTACGGAAACAACTAGGCATAGAGGTCCTCTCGGTCGGCAGAATAGACCTCCCCCTCCTGCAGGAGGGCAAAGTTGAGGAAGTGGGAGGGTCTGTGCACCTCATGGTAGAACTCCTTGGGGTTTGCCAGCTGCAGCTCGTACTTCATGTTGGGATCATGCCGGACACCTTAGGAGAGAAAGAAACATCACGTGTTAACAAGGGGGCCCCAGACAGTGGTTCAGGGATAGAACAGTACTCTGCGAGGCTGACCAACGTGGGAAAGTTCCCAGTTCCAGTCCAGAGATCTCCCTGAGCATCGTGGGCACACATTTACTCTTGATCCAGGGCTAGGGACTGGGGGTGGATGCAGCAACAAGACCCTGCTGGCAGGTCAGCTTCGTAGTCTTAGTGGTTCAAGGGGCCAGATCACACGTGGCTGACCACATGATTCAAGTTCTGGCCCCACCTGCTTATAGAATATGCCAGGCACATGCTCGTGTGTGTATGTGTGTGCACGTGCCCAGAATCCTAACGTGACAGAGAAGTGGAAAAAAAGATTGTGATGTGGCCACGCCATATTTCCCTTTCTCTGTAGGCACATGTACTCTGGCAAATTAAAAAAAAAAAGAAGAAGAAAAAAAGAAAAAAAACGAAAAGAAACAAAGAAAAAGGAAAGACCCTGTGAGGCTACTTCTCTCTCAGGGAAGAAATACCAAGTCATTACTAGGTCATCAGGAAAGTCATGATGTATTTTTCTGTTTTTCTATGCAAAAATCTTTCATGACTTTTCCAGCCACCCAATCAGTTAAGTCAACGTTTAGAAAATTAGCAAAGGTCTACCTGTCTGGCCCAGCCCGGGTACCTGCGCCATCACCAAACCAGTCGGGCAACAAATGCTGAGGGCAATGGCCTACCTTATCCCCAACTCCATCCCACATCCCTGTGCTTTTCCCACATAGACACAAACACACACAGCCCACTTACCCATGAAGTTGTAGTTCCACGAGGACTGGGCAGGGACCATAAAAAAGCCAAGGAAGCGGTCTGACAGCAGCATCTGGACCCTCTCATAGTGCGAAGGCAGGTATCCTTTGGGGTTGTTGCCCTTGTCTGTGTTTTGGCGACCCCATTCATAGCCACTGGGCGTCAGTTTGTAGGCAGTCAGCGTGCAGGAGCCTGGTGTGAAGCTGCAGAAGGACAGGGACAGAGTGAACGTTCAGGCCACTACTCTGGGCCCTGGCTTCCAATGCCTGCCCACCATGCTTCCTCCCAAGGAAGCTCAACACACCTGCAGGTGATGATAATGGTCTTCTCACCATCCCAAGATGGGTTGTCAGCCATGATCTTGGCATGGGTGGTAACATCCTGGGGTGACAACTGGGGGGACTCATTGGGCTGGGTGTGGATCCAACCTAAAGGCTCCATCTCCTATAGGCAGAGCGGTAAAGAGCTGTTCCAGATCCTCTCTGCAGATAGGAATCCCACCCAGGAGAGTAACGTGCCCGCCTTCCCTCCACCCCTGACAACAGAAAGGCCCAGTTCTCCCACACTCCCAGCCCCATTACCCCTTACCTTGAGGTACTCATGTTGGGGCAGCTGGCCAGGCAAGTGCACGGTCTGGTGAGTGCCCCACTGTGGCACCATCACGATGCAGCGGATCTCCTTCACCTGGGGGTTATCCGGTGGGCTCACTCCATACAGATACCCTGCAATCTGGAGACAAAGGGTTCATTAACCAAAAGTATTCTTAGTACAGACCCAGTCTGAGCTGTCAGCTCCCGTTTCCTTCCCTCCTCCAAGAACAAAGACAGTTTCTCAAAATGTGGTCAGAACCTCTTGCTTCAGAATCACCTGGGTAACTTGTTCAAAATGTTAAACATGGACCTCGTCTCAGCCTTAGCCACACCAGAATCTCCTGAGTGGGATCCAGAAATCTGCACTGCTCACAAGTTCCCGAGTTGTATTCAGTAGGGGACCCGACATATACGAGCAAGTGCACATATGTACAAGGATGTGTAATAGACAAGCAAGCACTCGAGTGTACAGCTCAATGAACACTCCAGCTGAACAAGCCTCGGAAAACCAGCAGTAGTGGGTTATTTTAAATTTTACATTGCCATTGACAAAGAGGATGTATTTGCTATAAACTCACCATGCAGTATATCAACAACCTTCAAATTTGCCACCCTGATGGCTACAAAATGGTGTTTTACAAAATATGTGTATCCCTTATTGCCAGTGAAGTTGAGTTGTTTCCCTCTAAGAGATTTTTGCTATAGGGCACGTGTGCTCACAAAAGAGACAGAGAGACAGAAAGTGAGAAATCACTCTCCAGAGGGGATGGCCATGCTACAACTCCTTCTCCTCCATTTTCCTCTCAGGATTTTGGGCATGCATGCACACGTGCCCAGCATGAGATTCAAGCCACTCCACAAGGAATGTAAAGCCACTGGGTTCAGGACTTGGACCACAGTAGGTCATCTGGAGTCCAGCGAAGTAACCATTACACCATCTGCTGGTCCTGAAGGTGAGCATTTTTCATATTTGCCATTCACAGTTCCTGTTCTCAACTGCCGTTTTATATTCTTTGCTTATTTTTTATTGTCTTTCTAAAATCACTTGAGAATTCTTTCTTCTAGCCACTAATTGATCCCTTAAAAGAGTAATATAAATATTTTCTTCCAATTTTGGTTTGTCTCTTATAGTACCCTTTGTCACATACTTTTTTTTTTTGGAGAGGTTTTTGCTATAGGGCGCGTATGCTTGCCAGAGAGACAGAGAGAGACAGAGAGACAGAAAGTGAGAAATCACCCCCCAGGGGGGATGGTCACGCCACAATCCCTTCTCCTCCATTCTCCTCTCGGGATCTTGGGCACGCACACACACGCACCCAGCGTGAGTTTAAGCCAACGGGTCCGGGACTCGAACTGCGGTCGACTACATGGGAGTCCAGCGACATAGCCATTATGCTAACTGCTGGTCCCACTTTTTTTTAAAGAGAGATTTCTGCCATAGACGCATGTGCTCGCTGGAAAGACAGAGAGAGACAGAGACAGAAAGCGAGAAATCACCCCCCCAGGGGAGATGGCCATGGTGCAATCCCTTCTCCTCCATTCTCTTCTCAGGATCTTGGGCACGCACGCACGTGGACTCTGCGTGAGTTTTAAGCCGCTGCGTCAGGACTCGAACCACATCAACTACGTGGAAGTCCAGTGACGTAACCATTATGCTATCTGCTGGTCCCAAACACACTATTTTTTTAGTTGCCAGAGGTTGTGTGTGCTCAGAGAGAGAAACAGAGAGGAGAAAGCAATCCCCAGTAATACATGGTCATTATTAGATTGGCCCCTAAATGGCTTTTGAGTAATTTCCCACCAGAAAATAAGGAGATGGTTATAACAATCTTTGGCCAGAGCCCTCCACATACTGGCAGCTGACACCCACAGATGGGTCAAAAGGTCATGATGGCAAGTAAGTTAATAAAAGTTCCTGTCATTTTTTGTGACCCTACCCCTCCACCCCTTCTAAATAAATCACATCTCCTGGATGGGGTGGGCTGAAGCACCTCTGGTTTCAGACCCCTAGATGCTTTCTCTCAATAAACTTTCCTTTTTCTCTTGAGATGACCTCCTGAGTCTTACTCCAAACCATGACAGTCAAGCTACAATCCCTTTCCCTTCTTCATCCTACTGAAAATTTTTTTTAAAGAATTATTTATTGGGGCCAGCAGGTGGCGTGGTGGTTAAGGGCACTGGACTCCCACATGGCCAACCATGGTTTGCGCCTCAGATCAGGACTTGAATTTTAAGCATGTATACACATGTGCCCTTGCATGTTTCTCTCCAAAGAGAGATGGAGATCATGGTTTTATCTCATACCTTAAGAAGTCTAGTCCTGGGGCCAGCAAGG